TACAGCCATCATCCCAAACTGAAACTCTGGACCCATTAAACAACAACTCTCTAGCCCATCTCCTCAGGCCCTAGCAATCACCACTTTTCATCTCTGTGCATTTTATTCCTCTGAGGTACCTTATATAAGTGAGATCACACAGTATCTGCCCTTTCAAAAACAATTTGCATTTAAATGTGTTTTCAACTGTAAACATTTACCAAGTATTGTCACTTCCTCCCCTGTGAGGCAGGCAGGGCAGAAACTATTAGTCTGGGTTTGGAGGCCCAGGGAGCTGAGGTTCAGGAAGGTTCAGAGATCTGTCCAAGCCTGTGGCACATGAGGTATCAGGCCTATCTGACACTCACACACTCCTCGAAGGCTGGGTCAGAATCTGAATGAATCTGGACAGGTGGAGGTCCATGACCACAACTCTCAGCCCACACCAGGCAACCTTCCTGTGCCCAAAGGCATGGTTTAAACACTTCACTGCAGATTGGCAATCAGAACAGGAATAATCAACGGAGTAGGATGAAGCTAAAGGAGATGGATTCAACCTAGGGACACTCAGCCAGAGGCCAGGATGTGTCTATCTATGGTTGGGTACAGACATGGCTGGAAAGTAGACCTTAGGTTTTTGTTTGTTTGTTTGTTTTTGAGGTGGAGTTTCACTCTTGTTGCACAGGCTGGAGTGCAACGGTGCAATCTCAGCTCACCGCAACCTCTGCCTCCCGGGTTCAAGTGATTCTCCTGCCTCAGCCTCCCGAGTAGCTAGGACTACAGGCATGTGCCACCACACCTGGCTAATTTTGTATTTTTAGTAGAGACGGGGTTTCTCCATATTGGTCAGGCTGGTCTTGAACTCCCATCCTCAGGTGATCCACCCGTCTCAGCCTCCCAAAGTGCTGGGATTACAGGTGTGAGCCACCATGCCTGGCTAAGACCTCAGTTTTTAATTACTGTTTATCTGTGATCATGAGTGAATGTTTGGCTAATCAGGGAGACGGCTCAGGAAGGTCAAAGTCATTGTCAGCATGAATGATTAATCTCCACACTTGTTTGGAGTCCACTGAAATAGGCAGCATATTGAGTCCCAGTGGAAGGTGCTGAATGATTCATCCTCTTACTGCCTGAGGCCCCAGCCCTTGCGTGGGCATTCTTCATACTGAGCATCATGGGAAAGATCGTGTTTTCCACACTCAGGTCAAAAGGTTTGCTCACTACTTTTTTTCCTGCATGATAATGGTTGACACTAATAACCTATTTGCAAACTGCCAAGAGACTTAGGGTTTCTTTCTTCATGTTTGTTTATTTTCTGGAATCAGAAACGGTTCAAACTGTGCATAATCCTCTAAATCAATGTGCTGCAGAAAGCTCTTAGTGAACCTGGAGAACATGAGTGGTACGCATTTTGTTCTCATTGATACTTACTAAAATAATGTATTAGGTGTTTAAGTTGTTGGATGAGACAAAGTTATCTGACTGGAATAAAACTTGGTTTTCCTCTGCTATCCTGCTTAGGAGAAAAGAGGGGCTCAACTGAGAATTGGGTTAGCTATAGAAATATAAGCCATCCTTTCTTTGCATGTAAGCGTAATGTGAATACATTTTCAGAATTGATAATTACTGAGTGCCTCCTACATGCTGGGTTCCCTCATTTCATCACCGCAACAGCCTTATGTAAGAAACACTATTATTTTCCCATTTATATGTTAGGAAACTCAGGCATAGACAGGTTAAGGTTGAGCAGCATTCCCAAGGTTCCAAAGGATCCTTACAGGAACTTGCAGACTACAAGAGCACAAATTCATAAAAAGGAGACACTTAATGATCCAGTGCGCTAAGTACAACAACAGAAATGTGTGCAGGGAGTTGGGGACCTAAAGACAGGCTAAATTCAGCCTGGGAAAGCTTTCTGGAGATTGTGTGCTGACTTATTTTTTAAAAGGTATTATTAATATACAACAAAATGCATAGATGTTAAGTACTCAGTTTCCCGTTTCAACAACTGCATACGTTTGTGTAGCGCCATCAAAAACAAGGTTTGAAACACTTCCATCACCCCCAGAAAGTTCCAGCATGTCCCTTTCCTGTCAATTCCTCCCCCTTCTCCAATTTCTGAATTCTTTCATGACAGGTTAGTTTTGTGTATTCTTGGACTTCATAAAAACAGAATATTCCGATGTACACTTTTGTCCTGGCTTCTTTCACTGAGTTAAGCCTTAAGAAATAATCCGTTAGCTGGGCAAAGGACCAGTATAAAGCAGACGGAGGAGGTGAGAGGCAGCCTGGAGCCGGGTACTGAGTGGGAGGTAATGGGGTGGGAAGGAAGACATGGGGAGGAACTGAGGGCCCTGGGTTTTAATTTAAGAGGGCTTGGATTTTATGCCATGGGTGAAGGGGAGCTAATGAAGGCTTAAAGCACCTACAGATGCAACACTTTGCACTTACGTTTCAAATTCAGTGGTCTTAGGACAAGGTTATTAGTAATCCCCATTTTGGGGGAGTCGTTTTATTTTTTTTATTAGTAAACAACAACATTGTCATGTTTTCTTGAATATTAACAATTTGAAATATTTAACTCGTTCATGAAAATTAATCTGGGAAAAAACCTCAAAGAGGCTAATTTCCAGCCATGAAGTAAAAAAAAAAAAAAAAAAAAAAAAAAAAAAAAGCAGAGCCCCAGTTGAACTTTAGATTTAAATTCATCTGAATTTTATCCCCAAGACTCCAAATTTGGCCCTCCCAGATGCACTAAGACTACACCTAGATACAACATCCTTTGTTAATGGTGGAAAATAAACAGCTTCACAGGAAACAGATCTTCATCACACAATAATTTATAGACTTGTTAATGATCTCCATTTTTAAGTAAAACTTCCTAACTGGCAAAATCAGGATTCAAACCCAGACTGACTCCAAACATCCTGCTTTTCCACCCAGAGAAAGCTTTGAAAATAAGGAGAGAAAAGCCAGCATAAGCTATGAAGAACTGCCTGAGAAAGACAACAAGGAGGCTGCAGAGGATGAAGTTACTCTGCATATGGCAATGGAACTGAACAGGCTGACCGCAGGGGAGGCAGAAGGCAAGAATCCTGGCGAATCCAGGGTGAGCAGGAGCCAGGCAGTTTCTGGCGCTCCAGCTTCTCTTAAGGCGCTGCTAATGACTCCCCTGAACAAGAGCGTGACAGGGTTGGCTTGCTCAGGTGGAACAAACTTAGAGATGCAGCCCTGTCTTATTTTCCTGGATTCTCTTAGCAAGCAACTTCAAACCTGTTTGTATGCCGCCCTTACGTTGCGTTTAGCCAACTCTCCACTGACCAAGTATGCTCTACAACCTTGCAGGTAAGTTAAAAAGAATCTCTAGGATTACTAAAAACTATATTGAACTCATATTTACTAAAGATTTTTAAACTGATTTATCTGGCCAGGAGCTGGTGGCTCACGCCTGTAATCCCAGCGCTTTGGAAGGCTGAGAGGGGCGGATCACAAGGTCAAGAGATTGAGACCATCCTGGCCAACACGGTGAAACCCCATCTCTACTAAAAATACAAAAATTAGCCAGGCATGATGGCAGGTGACTACAGTCCCAGTTACTCGGGAGGCTGAGGCAGGAGAATAGCTTGAACCCAGGACGTGGAGGTTGCAGTGAGCCGAGATCACACCACCCAACTCCAGCCAGAGCAAGACTCCATCTCAAAAACAAAACAAAACAAAACAAAACAAAACACACAAAAAACCTGCTTTTTCTTTTTATCCTTCCCACTGTATTTCTTCAAGGCATTTCTTCTACAATGAACCAAAGGTAACATTGAGAGTCAGCTTCTAGAAAACATCTTTAGAATTACGCTTTCTCTTACTCCAAACTTAAAAGCTGCTCCAAAATGTGATTTAAAAAAGTAACAGTAAGGAAAAGGAGGACTAATCACATTTTTAGATTAAAAACTTGAAAAAAAAATTGGCTCAGCTGTGTCACACAATTTAATGACATTCTGGAGACGAGGCCCAAGAGCTTCAGAGCAAAGCAGTCTGGTAACAAAACATGCAGAAAACAGAGCCGAAGAAAGTCTGGGCCATGCAAAAACCTGTTGAGCTTTCCCGACCTTATTTAACCATAATACCCATTTTCCAGGAAAAATGTTAGCATTCTACGCCTTCAGAGATGGTTTGGGAGAGGTCCCAATTGTTTTCTTGTGCCTGGAAAGCTTCCCTGTCTTGTCTTTCTGCACTCCTCTTCCTAGTTAGCACCTATTTCTTTTTCTTTCTTTCTTTCTTTCTATTTTTTCTGAGACAGAGTCTTGCTCTGTCGTGCAGTGGCGTGATCTCAGTTCACTGCAACCTCCGCCTCCTGGGTTCAAGCGATTCTCCTGCCTCAGCCTCCCGAGTAGCTGGGACTATAGGCATGCGCCACCACGCCCAGCTAATTTTTCACATTTTTAGTAGAGAAGGGGTTTCACCATGTTACCCAGGATGGTCTCAATTCCCGACCTTGTGATCCGCCTGCCTCGGCCTCCCAGAATGCTGAGATTACAGACGTGAGCCACTGTGCCAGGTCTATTTCTTTTACAGTATCTGCTTGGAATGACTTCCTTATGAAGACCTTCCTAGAAACACACCCCTCCTGAGACCCCACCCCCAAAGGCCAGATTAGTACCCCTTCTCCGTTTCCAAGGCTACACATCACAGCAGGGACCCCTCGATGTTGTAACTGCTTGTTTACTCATCAGCCTCCTGAGCCTACGTGAACTTCTTAAAGTCAGGGATGATGCCTTGTTCACCGTTATATTCCTAGTACCTAAAACAGTGCCTGACAATAAATGTTCAATAACCAACTAACAAGTGACTGACTGACTGAGCATCCAATGAACTGTCAACCTAAATAACACACAAAGAGGGAGGCTCTTTCAAAGAAAATAATACTTATTTGGGAGTTGCACTGCAATGGGAATATGCATGGATATATTCAGGAAAGTCAAAGGAAGACAAGGGTTTTTAAAGGAAAAATGAGGAAGATTCCATAATTTTTTTTTTGAGACAATTGGCTACAAGGATCATTAACAAAGGTGGCATCAGTCCAAGGCTGGACCGGCAGTTGCTGGGCAGATGTCCTCACAGAAGCACTTTTTGTATGTGTCAAGTTGCAAGGGACTTGGTTGTGTTTTTGCAGTCTTCTGTGACAGTTCTCATGCATGAGAAGCCTTCATTCATGGCCTTCCCTGGCTCCATTTTTCAGAGTTTTGACATAAATGACTCCATTTTGATTCTGACAGTTTCACAGCAAATATACCTTAGGTGTCAGTAGTCTAAATGGCAGAAGACATTTATCATCTGTCAGGGAATGCCAAGCACAACACAGAAGGAAAAGGAGGAAGTTAGGATGTGGTTGGTTAGGAGTATTTAAAAGGCCATGCTCAATTTGGAATGGGTCCCAAAGTAAAGAAATGGTATTTTTTTAAAAAAAGAAAAAGTATAGCAGGATTTTTTTTACTGGGAACTGGGACACCTGGGCCCTGGCCAAGCTCTGCCTCTCACTGGATATGGGACTTGGGACAAGTTCCTTCTCACTTGATTCTCAATTATGTGTGAAATAGAAAGGTGAGCAAAATAAAAATTTTAAATATCTTTTTGTATGTCTTGAGGTAACATTTAATAAAACCATCTTTCATTGTTTTTTAAAATAAAAGTGACGTGCTCGTGCTATGGGTTGAATGTGTGCCTCAAAAATTCCTTTTGCCATGTATTGGCAACTTAATGCCTCTGCCCTGGTGAATGGATTAATGGCAGCTCTGACTTCAAGAATGAATTAATGTTGCTATCAAGGGAGTGGGTTTGTTACTGTGAGAGTGAATGTGTTATCAGTGTGGGCTTTCTCTGGCTCTCTTGCTGTTGCCCATGTTACGACACAACAGGAAGGCCCTCACCAGACGCCAGTGCCATGTTGTTGGACTTCCCAGACGGCAAAACGGTGAGCTAAATATACTTCATTATTTCTTTATAAATTACCCAGTCTGTGCTACAGCAACAAAAAACAAAAATAGCTCACTCTATAGAATTTTTTTTAAGTAAAGGAGAAATAATCCTATAATCTCACTCATAATTCCATCACCCAGAGCTTCAGGGATTTTAAGGAGGTCAATAGGGAGTTAGAGAGTCATTTTAACTCTGTATTATATAAAACACTGAAAATAAAAAACAAGAAAATGGATAATCAGGAATAAAATTTTAGAGTATTTCCTTCTAGTTTTAAAAAATTCGCATAATTACCCATTTGTACTTTATATACTTTAATGGGATCACAAACTACATTCTTCACTTAACACTGGATGGCAGACCCTGAGGGTCAGCTGACTCAACACTCGTGTCCAACCCTCATCTCCCTTGCCTGCCTATGCTCTACAGTTGTGAAAAGCTATATACTAACTTTATTAACATCCCTTGCAACCAGCTGTGGCCATGTGACATGGCTTTAGCTGATAAGATATGAAGACATGTCAGCTAGGCAGCTCTCAAAACAAGTTTTTGCTTTCCTGAGAAAAGGGAGAGAAGCCGAAGTTGCCACCGCCTACCTCCCTCTCTACTTTGGCAGTGAACTGGACGTTGGTAGCTGCAGCAGGCCCCTCGTGACCATGAGGTGTCAAGCATTAGAAATTTCATGGGAATGGCAGAGATGCTGGTCCTGATGTTGCTGAACCAACTGAACCAACCCCAGAAGCTGCCTACGTTAGTCTTCCTGTTATAGGAGAAAAATAAATCCCTATTTATATCAGCCAATGAATTTTTTTTTTTACTAGCTGTAGCCAAATGTATTCCTGACATAAAATGTAAACAGCTTTCCAGTCCATTAAGTTTACAATATCATTTTAAATGGCTACAGAGTACTCTATCAAAGCGATGTACCACAATTCATTTAACCAGTTTTCTACTGTTCAACTTTTACATCACTTTCCATTTAACTGTTATATACACTGGTAAAAGATTCCTGTAGACAAATCTTTGCAATTATTGTCCATGATTGTTTTCTTAGAATAAACTCCTAGAGATGGAATTTCTTGATCAAAGGGCATGTATATTTTTTAAGGCCAATACCAACTTGTACTCTTCTCATTCTCTCCCTCATACAAGGAATGCCATTTTATAAAAATTAACGAGCAGATGAGCCAAAAACAATACCTCATTACTACATAATTTCTAAGGTTCCTTTTATAACTAAACATCTCTGATCCAACTTGTGAAAAATAGTAGAAGATTTGGATGTGGGTTTTAACTGGCTTTCGGCTGACTTCAGATTCTTTTCCAAAGCAAAGAAAGCATGGCTTGGCAGTGTGTTACAACTCTAATTCAAACAAATCTTCCCATTATTATCAGCCTGGTCTCATTTCAGCAGCACGGGGCTTCTCAACCAAAAGTCAATACAGAACATCTGTGTGGGCTGGGAGGGGAGCTACAAATGACTGGAAAATGGAACCCAGAGAGACAGATTTCTGGGAAGAAACAAATTTTAAAATGAATAAGGAGAGAAGGGAGTAAAGAAAAGGAAGAAAGGGCCGGGCACAGTGGCTCACGCCTGTAATCTCAGCACTTTGGGAGGCTGAGGCAGACAGATCACCTGTGATTGGGAGTTCAAGATCAGCTTGACCAACATGGAGAAATCCCGTCTCTACTAAAAATACAAAATTAGCCAAGCGTGATGGTGCATGCCTATAATCCCAGCTACTCGGGAGACTGAGGCAGAAGAATTGCTTGAAACTGGGAGACAGAGGTTGCTGTGAGCCGAGTTCACGCCACTGCACTCCAGCCTGGGTAATAAGAGCGAAACTCCGTCTCAAAAAGGAAAAAAAGAAAGAAAAGGAAGAAAGCCACCAGAATCAAGGTCCACACACTCACCTTTCCTGCACTCGCATTCTGGTTTCCACCTTGCCACGGTTGCTTCCTGGCTCTGCGGTTGTGAGTGGAAAGCTGTCCCTCTAGGCACAGCAGCTCCATCTTTCTCATCCTTTGTGAATCAGCCCAAATAGCACGTCTTCAGAGGGCTTTCCTCCAATCACCTGACCTAAAGTAGCTTTCACGGCTTCCCTGACCTTCATCTCATCCTGTGTGATTTTCTTCACGGCACTGAAATGGTCTTGCTCACTGACAAGGGTCCATGTGGATCGTCAGGCTCACCCAGTGGAACGTACCCTCAACCTGAGCAGAAACCTCACTGCTGTATCCTCAGCATCTAGAACAGTGCTTGGTCCACACTGAATGCACGGACTGACAATTTCCTAATCTCTAACCACACACACACTCAGAGATTATCATGGCAAGCAAAGGATGAACTAACTGCCCCGGGGGCTTGGGAAGTCTGCAGCTCTTGAAATCACACTTCAGAGAGTGGTAGAGAGTCCAGAGTCCCTAGGCAACTGTCACCTCTCCTTCCCTGGCTCATCAACTCCCACTCCACTGAGGTCAAGGGTCCAGTGGAGGGAGGGCCCAGCGTCTGAGGCTGGCTGTCTCCAAAGGGATGAGAGGGGTTACTGTCACACGGGGCTCCGCACACTTATTTCTGGTATTTTGTTCTTATCAGTCTGATGATATTTTAATTTTTTTCTTATGATGATTTTCAAGCAAACAAGGTAAAGGGAATGGTACAATGAACTCATGTGTCCATCACCCTTCTTATTTCATCTCTTCTCTTAACACCATGTATGTGTATTGGAGCATTTTAAAGCAAAAATCAGACATGTTGACAAAATGTTTAACTGTTCCTGCGTGCCGAGACTGCCTTCAGAACCCTGGAATTGCACAGTACACATGCTGAGAACAGTAACAGGTTAAGGCTGCTTGCTGAGGCCCAATCTAATGGCAGCTTGCCCCTTTCTTCTCATTGACCTGCACAAAAAGGAAGATTTCCAACTAACTGCTTAAAAACACATTCAGAGCAAACAAAGCCTTTGATCCCTGTGCAACGCTAAGAAGACACCAGGCAATTTTGCAAAAGCACCAGACTCTAAACAGTAATAAGCCAGGTCAAACGGACATGTCTGCCTGACACACAGTTGTTTTGCTTGTCACTTCTACGGTTACTTAATTTCCCTGCTTACTGCCTTCTAGATCCTGGAAGGTGCCATGTTCACCAACTGGTACTGTCTTTTCCTTCTCTTCACATGAACACAAGTATTAATTAGAGGTGTCTCTGAGAACAAGTGAGGAGGAAGTGTTTTTATGTAGTCATGGAGTGATGGGTCTCAGGGGAGTCAGAGTGGCTGGGCTCTCTGAAAGATGACCCAGTCAGCAATGGACACACAGACACAACTGATCCTTGCTGGATCAAGCACAGTGCCTTCAACGGGGCAAGCTTGAAACGAACTAAGGAATTAATGAATCATATGTGTTCATCGGAACTCAAGAGGCTGGGGGCTCAACACTGGATCCTGACCTCCCAGGCAATGCACTGTAAACAACAAGCAACTAAAGTAAAACTTACAAAATAAGACCCTAAAATACATTTTAGAATCTATCACCTTACCACAAGAGTTACTTTGCTTCTTCCACATAAGCCTGTCATTGGAGGATGAGTTTTTACACAGCTGCAATTGATATGCAGGCAGTTCTTCCTCACTTAACTCAGCAAACACAGGCCTGTGTTGTTAGTCTTCCTCAGAATTATTTTAAATGGCTGCACGTTTGCAGGTGTGCCAACATAGCCAAACTTAAGTCACTTGTCTGCTCTATTCCTTTCCTTTTTTTTTTTTTTTCTTTGAGATGGAGTCTTGCTCTGTCACTCAGGCTGGAATGCAGTGGCATGATCTCAGCTCACTACAACCTCCACCTCCCAGGTTAGCAATTCTCCTGTCTCAGCCTCCCGAGTAGCTGGGACTACAGGTGCCCACCACCATACCCAGCTAATTTTTGTATTTTTAGTAGAGACGGGGTTTCACCATGTTGCCCAGGCTGGTCTCGAATTCCTGACCTGAGGTGATCCACCCGCCTTCGCCTCCCAAAGTGCTGGGATTCCAGGCGCGAGCCACACTGCCCAGCTTACTTTCCTTTATCTTTTCTCACTCATCTCCTATTTTTAGGGGTTAAAAGAAACTTCCCCTTGGCCTCATCTCACACTCCCTCTTGCTGCGGGGCCCCTGAGGCATCAGTACATGCTGTTCCTTCTACATGTACCACTCTCAAAGACCACTCATTTGCCTGGCCTATTTCTACCTATGTTTCAGGGATCAGATTATGTGTCATTACCCCAGGAAGCCTGCCCTGACCCTCGGAGATGCCTTACCATCCTATACTTCAAGGGTGATGGAGCTCATCACAGTCAGTAATTGCTTTTCTTAGGATCTGTTTGTTCCACCAGACTGTGAGTGGAACCTATTTTTGTGAACCTTATTAGCTAGGTGATCATGGGGAGCCTCAGTTTCCTCACTTGTAAAAGAGGATAGTCATGCACCCTTGCCCACCCACCAACAAGGATGTTAAGGAGATCACACCAGGCGGTACTGTCAAGATTCCCTGTAAAGCATAAAGATAATTAGTACAAATTATATATCTGCCACCTAATCCTAAGGACCAAAGGGCAGTCACATCATCTTAGCCCTTTGAGGCTCACAGAGTCGAACAAATGATAGCTAACATTTGTGAATACTCAGGGACACTGTACTAGACAGTTTACATGCACTTCTCATTTTATCCTCATTACAAATGAATGGGATGGAATCTAGTGTTATTCTTGCTTGCCAGAGGCTCAGGTGACTAAATAGATTTCCCAAGGCTACGTTGTTTTAGAAAATGCTGCTGAGCACCTGGTGCAAGGCTCTTCCCACAAAAAAAAAAAAAAGGCCCATACATACATCCACACAAAGTAGTGCGTACAAATGTCCAAGTTCATAAACTCCCTGAAGCCAAACTTCTCTTGACCCCTATTCTAGGCCTTGCATGCAGTAAAGTGAATTCTGCAGAGAAGCTGAAAGATTTATACACCCCACAGGGCTGGGAGATTATGGGAGTAAACTGTGTCAGCGAAAATTCTGGAGAAAACCTTGTAGCCTAGGAACGAGTTGTAAATCTTGAGGTCTCACTAGACACAGTTTCCCTGGCAACTTAAGTCACTAGGCTGACTGAAGACTCTTGGCCACATGGCATGATTCAAGCCACATGGCATGAATCCTGCACTCTGATAAGCCAGGTGCTGGGAGAAGCTGGTAGCACTGCCAAACTACAGCCACCATCACCAACAGCCAGACACTTACCGGTATAAACAGTTGCCAAAGATACACACTGCTTGATGTACTTCATAATCCAGAGAAACAACAGCTAAAAGGAACATAAGGGGCCTAAAGGAGTCAAAGTGGGAGCAGAAATTGAAGTTGGTCAAACCATCTGGCCTGAGACTCACCTAATCGCAGAGTGGCTTTGGATGAAGTGAGGCATCACTGTGAGCGTGAAAAGTGTGTCTCACACTGAGCAGAGTAAGAGCCAATACTTGGGTCAGAAGGAATGGCGCAACACCACCCTCTGCAGAAGATTCCGTGGGATTGTACCACGAGACAAATAGGCGATGAAAACGTGAAACACTAATGGGTGAGCCAGGCTGCATTTTTCATTGTGGCACTGTGTGGGCAAAGCCTCGGAGACCACCTGGGAATGGGATGAGATGAGCCAAAGTGGTTTCCATGGAGAATGCTCCCAAAATCAAGAAACAAAGGCTTGGGGAGTGTGTGGTGTCCAGAAAAACTGCCTGTTGAACAGTGCAACCTGTGACGGTCCCCACACAATGTCGGTCCCCACACAATGACGGAAGCCAGCAACTCTCCAGATCCCGTAGAAGAGGAGAAATGCGATGCAGCTGAAGGGACTGGTTGGGTGAGGGAAAGAGCGTACAGAGAGAACTCCCCACTCCTGAGAACTGTCAAGCTTAGAGCTAGGCTCTCAAGGGGACACACACGTGAATGGTGCCACAGCAGCCCCTACATGTCAGGGAGGCAAGCATTTTGGTGGAAACAAAGTTTATTTTGTTTTCTAAACAAAAGAGGCCATAAGGGTCCTCTCTCAAACATATTTTGGATGGTCCACAAGTTAAACTACTATCAGTGCAAAACAGGAGAAAATTATGGGTCCGCAGTCCTTTAGCTGCAATTCTGAAATCCAAAACGTTCTAAAAACAGAAATTCTTTTTTCCTTCTAATCATTTAGAAGCAAAAATCTGACCTGAAATGACATGAAGTTATTATAATCTTTACTTATCCCCATCTCATATGAATAATCATGTCTTACTGAAGACACATTAACATGTCTCATTGCAAAGTGCTAACCCCAAGTCCCACTGGAGGCATTATATAACATAAAGTATAATAAGCAAAGAGTTTCCTCGAAAACTTGGGGTAGGCAGAATTGTGGACACACATCTCCTTTTCCATAGGTCAGTAAAAACAAAAGAAATGTTTGACCACCTGGAACAGAATGAATTTTTTTTGAAAAAGGAAGGCCAGGCGTGGTGGCTCATGCTTGTAATTCCAACACTTTGGGAGGTCAATGCAGGCGGATCACAAGGTCAGGAGTTTGAGACCAGTCTGGCCCACAAGGTGAAACCCTGTCTCTATTAAAAATATAAAAATTAGCCAGGCATAGTGGCACACTTCTGTAGTCCCAGCTACTAGGGAGGCTGAGGCAGGAGAATTGCTTGAACCAGGGAGGCAGAGGTTGCAGTGAGCCGAGATGGCACCACTGCACTCCAGTCTGGGACAGAGCAAGACTCTGTCTTGGAAAAAATAAAATTAATAAAAATAAAAAAGAAACCTACCAGATCTCTTTAGCCTCCAGGTGGGAAGATGGCTTTGGGGAAATCTATGATATACATGTCCTCATGGGGTCCATGAACTAGACTATTCTTATGTTTCTAATTCTAAATTATAATTTACCTATTGTGTTTAGTTCTATTAAACGCTGCCTCTGCACCCAGATAAATCCAAAGCAACTCCAGACTTTTCATTCGTGGAGTGAATCTGGAAGCCTTTCTACTGTGATGGTCAATGAATTTCATTGCTAATACAGTCATCGGCTCCCCCTCCAGGAGAATGTGAACTGGTAAACTTGATCTCTTTCATCTCTACAGATGTACAATTTTGGAGGGGAGAATAAAACAAAGTTAAGTGAAGATGATACGTTTTCTTGGAGATTTGAATAGTGTTTTCAATGAACAGGAGAAAAGACTCTAAGATTTCTCATCAAATGATCTACTTTTCTTGTTCCATAATAGAAGGCCCATTCAGCAGGTTAAAGGATAAGAAAGGAAGATTTAAAAGGGAATACACAACGGAATACTACTCAGCCATAAAAAGGAATAAATTAATGGCAGTTGCAGCAACCTGGATGGGATTGGAGACTAATATTCTAAGTGACGTAATTCAGGAATGGAAAACCAAATATTGGATGTTCTCACTCAGAAGTGGGAGCTAAGCTATGAGGATGCAAAGGCATAAGAAAGACACAATAGACTTTGAGGACTCAGGAGGAAAGGGTGGGAAGGATGTGAGGGTAAAAGACTACAAATTGGATGCAGTATATACTGCTTGGGTGATGGATTAATCCCCACTAAAGAACTTACTCATGTAACCAAAACCACCAGTTCCCCAATAACCTATGGAAATATAAAATTAAAAAAAATAAAAATAAAAGGAAGTACAGATGGTTTTTAGCCAAAAAAGCCTGGATTCAAAGCCAGGCAATACCATTAATAGATGTGTAACCTTGGAAAGTTTACTTCACTGTGGCTGAATCTCATCTCCAACCTAGAGAAAAACAATATTTTCGTCATAGGGTTTTTATGGGGATTAAATGACATGTAAAACATCTAATACACGGTGGTACTCAATCTGTGGTAGCTATTGTTGTGGGTGTTGCTAGATTTGGGAGGTGAACAGTGAATGGCTTCACTTCTGATTTCACCAGATTGCCTGGCTCAGCAAATGCGGGAGTTATTGACTTCATGAGCACAGAGCCAGTGGATAATAAACACACATAGCAACAAATCACATCGATAAACCAATCTACCTCAGCTAATAACTGCTTTCCAGGCTCCTGCATTTGCTTTGTTAGAGGAACTAAGCAGTCCCTAATGGCTATGGAACCAAATCATTTAGAAGATGGTAAATTTTATCAGCATTAGAGTTTCTGTTCAGGGCAGTGTGGGAGGCTGTGCAAAGCCACCTCTTTTTAAAGAAAGCTAAGCAAAAATAATCCATAAATCACGTGAGTACCTATTACAGGTGCTTATGTCACTTAGCATATTTTCTAAGGAGAGGCTTATTTCCCATTCATTGAAGTGACATTTACTGAGCATGTCCAAGGTACCAGCTACCATATTAAGTGCTAGGGCACAAAAATAATAAAAAGACATAGGTTGGGCACAGTGGCTCACACCTGTAAGCCCAGCACTTTGGGAGGCCAAGGTGTAAGGATGGCTTGAGCCCAGGAGTTCGAGACCAGCCTTGGCAACAGAGCAAGACCTTGTCTCTACAAAAAAAAAATTTTTTTTAATTTAGCTGGGCATAGTGGTGCATGCCCGTAGTCCCGGCTGCACAGGAGGCTGAGATGGGAGGATCTCTGGAGCCCCAAAGTTGGAGGCTGCAGTGAACCGTGATTGTACCACTGCATGCCAGCCTGGGCTACAGTGAGACCCTGTCTCTTAAAAAAAAAAGTAGAAAAACAAAAGACATGAGCCCTTCCCACCAGGAACTCAGGCCTGTGGGTGAGACAGATGTATATATGTGTTTTTTAATGGTCTATGCTGGAAGTGCTAATGAGAGAGGGGTACACAGGGTGACAGAGAGGGCGACTACCCAAAATAGACACTTCCGGAAAGTAAGGTAGTTTCACCATGCTGGAATTATACACAGTGAACATGTGTTACTTTTGAAATCAGGAACAAAAAATGTAAAAGGAGAAACAAAGAACTCAAAGTCTAGTGGTGGAAACATTATATAATAAATATTCAAATAGTGGGATGAGTACCAAAATTCAGGAAGATCAGAGTGTTTTGAAGGGAGTATTCTTCCTTTAGAAGAAAGGAAGGGCTTCCATACTGCCTAGGGGGAAAGGCGACAAGGCAGGTTTCCCTGAGAAGGTGACACTCAGCTGAGACCTGGAGACTGACGGGTTTGCCAGCAGGAGTGTAAGTGCAGTTTCTCTAGAGGGCAAACCAGCAATATTTCTCAGAATTTCAAATGTGCACACTCCTTGAGCCAGATGTTCCTCTTCTGGCATTTCAGCTGAGAAGAATGCTAGAAAACACACCAAAAGATCTTCGTAAAAATAAGTTTATCGCGTCACTGTATGTAATAAGAAAACACTGGAAATAAATGTGCGGCAATAGGACATTGTTTAAATAACTTATAGCCATATGCTAGAACAATAGAGCCATGAAAAAATATATCATTTATATATAGCCTATTAAGTTTTAAAAGGTAAGTTAGAGAATAGTATATCCTTGTTTTTATATAAATAATTTTACATATTTTTTACACATGAAAGTGTTTGCATATAAATAGAAAAAGCCTGAGAAGATAAACAACAAATGATTAGCACTTAAGGGATATTAGAGCTGGTAGGGTAGGGGTGGGGAAAAGCAATTTCATTTTCTTATTTACTCTATATTCACATTTTTTACAATGAGAATATACTCCTTTTATATTTAAAAAATAATCTTTTTTGGCCAGGCACGGTGGCTCATGCCTGTAATCCCAGCACTTTGGGATCATGAGGTCAGGAGTCCGAGACCAGCCTGGCCAACATGGTGAAACCCTGTCTCTGCTAAAAATACAAAAATTAGCTGGGTGTGGTGGCTTACGCCTGTAATCCCAGCACTTTGGGAGGCCCAGGCAGGTGGATCATCTGATGTCAGGAGTTCAAGACCAGCCTGGCCAACATGGTGAAACTCCATCTCTACTAAAAATACAAAAACTTATCCAGGCATGATGGTGGGTGCCTGTAATCCCAACTCCTTGGAAGGCTGAGGCAGGAGATTCATTTGAACCCAGGAGGCAGAGGTTGCAGTGAGCCAAGATCACGCCATTGCACTCCAGCCTGGGTGGCAGAGGGAGATTTTGACTCAAATAATAATAACAATAATAATAATTTTTAAAAGAGTTTACTAACTGGAAAGTTATGGGTACAAAAGGACAGAGGTTTTAGAGAAGGCATCTGTTCAAAACAGCTTAGTACTGCTGTAATACAGGAGTCACATGAGTCCAAGAGACAGGGTTGAAGGAAGACTTTGAAGAAGAAACAAATGTGGGGTGTTTCAACTTGGAGGGAAGGGAGAAGAGTTGAGGGGCATGCGAGCAAACAGTAAAAGTACAACCATAGCTGAAGGATGGTGTTCAGAGACACAGGACACAGCAGAGAAGGGGATTCCAGGGATCCTCAAGAGTGGGAAGCAGCTGTCGCATTCTGAAGAGAACGTATCTGAAGAGAAGTGCATTCTTTTAAAGGAGAGCATCTGTGAAAAACCGAATTTTCACTAAATATCTGCTCTAACTTGCTTACTTTGGCCAAACAGAAAGTTGGAGGGATAGAGAGCTTTCTTTTTTTTTTCCTGAGCAGAACACCAGGGAACACAAAGAATATTTTATTGACAAACAAGCTAGATGAAATGATTAAAGTGTCCATTACAAATACCAGTGGCACAATGGAAAAGGGCTTTTTTAAAAAAAAAAATTATTTCCACAGGTTTTTGGGGAACAGGTGGTATTTGGTTACATGAATAAGTTCCTTAGTGGTGATTCGTGAGATTTTGGTGCACCCATCACCAGAACAGTATATACTGGACCCAGTTTGAAGTCTTTTATTCTTCACCCCCTTCCCACCCTTTCCTTTCCCCCGAGTCCCCAAACTCCAGTGTCATTCTTATGCCTTTGTATCTTCATAGCTTATGAGTGAGAACATACACTGTTTGATTTTCCATTCCTGAGTTACTTCACTTAGAATAATGGTCTCCAATCTCAGCCAGGTTGCTGTGAATGCCGTTAATTCATTCCTTTCATGGCTGAAAGTATTCCATCATATATATATATATGTATTTTATATATATATATGTATAATAT